TATATATATAATATATATATATAATATATATATATATAATATATTTATATTAATATATATATATTAATAATAATAAATTAATTAATTTATACTAATATATATACGTATATAAGTATATATATATATATATGTGTATATATGTATATATGCATATATATGTCTATATATATATGTATATATATACATATATATATATAAATATTAATATTAATATAGGATTTTCGTCCAATAAGCTATACTGTAGGTTTTTCCCATGAAATATAAAAAGACGCGCTTCACCGTGGTTGTTTTGTCATCTAAATCAGATTCGCAGTCAGAAACATCAGTACTAGGATACTGCCCTCAGTAGAAGGAGCATCAAATTTACCAACTAAATTGGGAAGAATTGGGAATTTATCAACGTGTGTATGACAAAGAGTATGTTATAAGTTTTTTTTAACCCTTTTGATTTTCAAGAAATATTGTCAAGTATTGACTAAGCTAACATATGTTTGTAGGCCACGTCTCGTGTGAAAAACTGAATTACACACTGGTAGTTAGAATCGGTCACTGTCGAATCGATCTAGTTATTGTGCTTCTTTGCAATGACATTATATTTTATATTTGAACGTGTCAGTAGGCACACAATAATAACTCGATGAATAATACTAGATTATCATCCCATGTGCAATATAATTTATTATTAATCTTGTCTCTTTGTTTGATAATATGTGACGTGCAACATGTTCAGTAAAGAATAATAGAATTTTACGGAACTTTATAACCATTTGAATATCTGTACCATTCTCACTTTTGTATCTCTAACAATATATTATACAGTACAATTTTCTACAACTAATGTTTATTTATTGTTTTCTAAAAGGTTTATTTTTGCCTAATTTAAATTTATAGGCATTCTGTGGTCGGGCTAATGTTTGTGTCAAGCTAATATACGGTAATACTTGAAAATAAAAAAAATATATATTGAAATGCTTACATTGCATATTTAAGTAGGCCTAAGTTTTGCATAATAAAAACGAGAACATATTATTTTTATCACTCACAGAAGCAGATTCATACTATTCATAAGTTTGTTGAATATGACGTCAAAGAGCTATCAGGGGCGGATCCAGAGATGTGCAAAAGTGGGGGGGGGGGGGGGGGGGGGGGTTGGCGAAAGTTGGGCCGATCGAGAAAACACTGTCCTAGGGGGTCCGGGGCATGCCCCCGCGACTTTTTGTCTTCTAGACGCCCGAAAATAACATTTGAGGCGTTATTTTTCTTCATTTGAGGCGTCATTTTTCTTCTTCTTTCCTTTTTTTCTTTTTTTTTACCTTTAAAAAGAAGGGGCCGGGACGGGCCGGTCCCCTCCCCCCCTAAATCCGCCAACTGACTACTGTAATCATCAAGGCATGGAATACGCACTTGTCCCAAAAATGTGCGTAATGGCGTGCGGTTACGCTGTACGTTTTGTGCGATATTACAATATCTAAGGCTATGTTCTCAGACGGCTGCTAACGGGTAGCAGGATCCGGATCTTGCTAACCGTTAGCTGTCGTGCGTCCATACGAGAAGATCCCGATCCCGATATCAAGAATGATGATCGAATAACTGGCCAATAAGAAACTGGAAATTGTAAACGCGTACGTGCTCAACGTGCTAACCGATAGCGCTTGCTAACCGTTAGCGGTATCCGATACTGCTTTTTCACGGAACGGACTTGGTGCGAATGCTTTCATTTTTCAACACAGTTTCAACTTTTTTTTCACGGAACGGACATCTATTCCGTTCCGCGAAACGGAACAAGTGTGAATGAAGCTTAACGGTTAGCGCTAACCGATCGGGCGTTTTCACACAGGTGCTAACGGTTAGCTCCCGATCCGGATACTAGGGCTCTTGTGAGAACCAGGCTTAAGGAGCTGGGCTTATTGGATTGTCCATTGATTGGTAATCAACGAAGATATGAATACCAAGTATGAACTAAAACTAAATTAATTTAATAAATTAGTTTAATAAATTGTATGAAATAATAAATCGTGTCTCCTATGATCATTTAGGCCTATTTGGTCCTTTTAGATTTGTTACTCATTATTTTAATTTATTTCTTGATTTTTTTTAACCACAGATAGAATACAAATAAGGAATGTTTGTGAGTCCAATTGCAGGAAGATATTCATGAATTCATTAAATATTTCAACGAATGAAACCATTATTTCTAGTGCACAACTAACGATTCAACAACTAGTTGGATCAAGTTATTTGAAACATAATTTTATTTCTTTCTACACATAATATGAGAAGAAGTGAGATTAAAACTAACATGAATAGCTTTTATGTTGGCTCAGGTTCATTCACTTCATTCATTTGGGCAATTTGGTATTATGGAGACGCCTGGAAATGCATCCGTTAACGATGCATAAAATGCCATTGTCAAACATTATCTATATTTATTTTCTATTCTTAGCATTACTCTTCTTGATTTCTCTCCATTTTAGTAATAATTCATATCGAATTACTGTCTTAGTCTTTGTTTTTTTTTTGTGTATGTATCGATTTGTTCACAAATGAATAACCTGGAAAACAATATACTATACCAACATTAACTCACAATATATATAGGCAATTAAATATAGAAAGGTGATACAAGCAAATCATTGAAGCATTGACGTTGGATCAGTTTGAGATCGTAGATTCAATCCCTCGCTGTGCATTTCGCTTGTGTTAGACAATGCGTTTTACTTACGTTTGTCTCTTTCCACCCTGCAGCAGTACAAGTGGGTACCTGGTAGGTTTAAACACAAAATGAACAGGGTGCCTTGTGCCGATGCCCCCGCCGAGGGGTCAGATTTCCCCGACGAAAGCAGGATAGGCGTGGCCGAGCTTCGATTAAAATGCTCCGAAAATCGTCCAGGGGCAAAGTCCCCGAAAATTTTGACGATTTTGATACTTCAGTATGTGTTGCATAGTCCTTGATTCAATGCCTGGTGGTAATTATGTTAAGTGCGCTCTATAAGTCGACCATTATTATTATTATTATTATTATTATTATTATTATTATTATTATTATTATTATTATTATTATTATTATTATTATTATTATTATTATTATTATTATTATTATTATTATTA